TGTAGGACTATGAAGTCAAACTCCTGCAACCTCAAGCTCCAGCGTGCGAGGCGTCCGGAGGGGTCCTTTAAACTGGCGAGCCAACACAAAGAGTGGTGATCAGTGATTACCTTGAAAGGCTTGCCATATAGGTAGGGCCGAAATTTGGAAATCGCCCATACGATGGCGAGGCATTCCCTTTGAGTCGTGGAGTAGTTTTTTTCGGCTTTTGACAAAGCGCGGCTGGGCTAGGCGATAACTTCCTCAAGTCCGTTCTGGTGTTGAACAAGAACGGCGCCGAGGCCTACAGAGCTGGCGCCGGTATGAACTGTTGTTTCGGCGTTCTCGTCGTAGTGGGCCAGTAACGGGGGCGACTGTAGGCGCTGCTGAAGCTCCCGGAATGCGTCTGCTTGCTCTGACTCCCAGGTAAACGGTACATCATCGTGCGTCAAGCGCATGAGGGGCTCGGCAAGTTGAGAAAAGAACTTGACAAAACGTCTGTAATAAGCGCAAATGCCTAGAAGCCTACGAACAGCTTTTTGTCGGCTGGCTGCGGGAAACGTGCAATAGCTGCAGTTTTCTGGGGATCCGGATGAACTCCACTTCCGCTAACGATGTGTCCGAGAAATTTTAGTTCCTCGTAAGCGAAGTGGCACTTCTCCGTCTTAAGGGTTAGTTCTGAAGACTTAATTGCTTCGAGTACCGTTTCAGTCTCCGTAGGTGTTCATCGAAGTGCGTTGAGAACACGACAACATCATCGAGATATACGAGGCAGGTCTGCCACTTGAGCTCTACCAACACAGTGTCCATAACTCTTTGAAACGTTGCTGGCGCTGAGCAGAGGCCGAAGGGCATGACTTTAAACTCATACAGCCCGTCGGGGGTTATGAAGGCAGTTTTCTCCCGATCCCTCTCGTCGACCTCGATCTGCCAATATCCCGTCTTGAGGTCCATCGGAGAGAAGTATTTCGCGTGGCTTAATCGGTCTAGAGTGTCGTCGATTCGGGGCAAAGGATACACGCCCTTCTTAGTGATCTTGTTTAGCCGGCGATAATCAACGCAGAACCTGAGGGTGCCAACTTTTTTCTTCACGAGAACGACAGGCGACGCCCAAGGGCTTTTCGAGGGTTGAATAATGTCGTCAGAGAGCATCTCTTTAACTTGATGTTGAATTGCCTCCCGCTCCTTGAATGAAACTCGATAAGGAGATTGTCGGAGGGGGCGTGCGTCCTCGTTAGTTATGATTTGATGTCTCTCAATCGGGGTTTGCCGGATTTTCGAAGAGGACGAGAAAGAGTCGTGGTAGCGTTGAAGTAGGTGCTGTAGTCGGTCCTGTTTTTCCCGAGACAAAGCAGGGTTTACATCGAATGCGGGAGCAGCCTCTTCCGTTACGGAAATTGTCGAGCTTGTATCGGAGAGGGTCAGAGCATTACTGACCTCTGCGGTGTCCTCTAGGGAAGCGAGTGAGGTGCCCCGGCTGAGATGTTGGTATTCCGAAGTGAAGTTTGTTAGCAGGATAATCGCTTATCCTTGTTCAAGGCGAGCGACTCTTCTCGCAACCGAGATTCCTCGTTGAAGCAGCAGAGATCTGTTGGTTTCAACGACTCCCTCGTAATCTCTGGATACAGCAGCTGTTACCGAGACAAGGACACTTGAGCGGGGTGGTAACGTAACATGCTCGTCGAGTAGTGTAAGTGACGTCGGCTGGACGTTGGGCGGGATGGCGTGCTCTGTAGAAAATGTGACCAACTTTGATTTGAGATCGATGACAGCGCTGTGCTCAAGAAGAAAATCCATACCCAGGATAACGTCCCGCGAGCACTGGTGCAAGACGACGAACGTCGCAGGATAAGTGAAATGGCGGATTGTAACCCTCGCTGTACATCGTCCGGTGGGAGTCACAAGATGACCTCCCGCTGTACGAATCAGAGGGCCGTCCCAGGGGGTCGTCACTTTTTTTAGAGCTCTTGCAAACTGTCCGCTGATTACGGATGTTACGTTTCTCCGGGAGAATCGACGAATCCGGAGACCGACGTTTATTTGGCAGCGTTTATTGTTCGGCAGCCGGAACCAAAGGAGCGCAAAGCTTGCCGGCGATGCCGCTTATATCGGCAGCAAGCACCAGAGGTACGCCCCCCTGACTCAGCAGTTCTGCTGCGGCCGCGACAGCGATAAGCGATAACATCGCATCGTAACAACTCCTCCCCCTTTTAGGGCGAAACCGCATAAAACAATTTTCCCGCCACTCTCCAGGTTTCAAGCACGTCCTTGGGAATGTTCGACAGAAAAACGAACGGCGTAATCCTAGTGCTGCTTGCGCAGAACTTCACAGTCGTTGCTCGAAGAAACCTTCGCAGCGAATACAGGTTCAGCTTGCGCTGATCCGAAGGGCGGGAAGTCCTGGAGACGCAGGGCCCAACACCGTCTGCGAAACTGGCCGGAAGCGTCGACGCGCGGCCCAACACCGTCACTGCAGTTTTCAGTGTCCTTGACTGGTCGGAAGCGTCGACTGTGCGGTCCGAGAGGAGCAGGAAGGAGCGGTGATGGCGTTCCTTGCGACCATGAGCCAAAGTCGCCAGCGGCCCAGGAGTAGCAGCGGCTGTCACGTGCCGTCGGTGCCAGGACGTCGGAATGACAACAGAGGTCCGTCGTGTTTCTGAGGGGAATAAGAAGGGCCAACAACAACCAAGCACCACAGAAACTGCGGAGGCACCCGAAACGCCCTTTCCACTCACCGAGAGCACGAATTATTCAAAAGAAATAGCTTACAAAATATGCCCCAAATGCAGCCAGAATTTTTTGAAAATATCGTTCCCGATCTTTCGGGAATAGACAGCTAATGAATGAAATTGAATGGAACTATTTACAAATGTGCAGATGAGACAAAAGAAACAGAAAATCGCACTGTGCGCCGGTTAGAGCGCTCGGCTCAGACAATCTGCGTTCGCATGAAGCTTTCCTTTTTTATGTCGAACCAAGAAAGAATATTCCTGGAGGGTCAAGCTCCAGCGTAACAAGCGACCGTTTTTGGGGGACAGCTGCTGAAGCCATGTGAGCGGTCTATGATCTGTAATTAAAATAAACTCCGAACCATAGAGATAGCAGCGAAGCTTTTCTACAGCCCATACGAGACAAGCGCATTCTTTTTCGATGGTACTGTAGGCTTGCTCCCTTGAAGTTAGCTTCCTGCTGGCAAACAAAACGGGGTGCTCTTCCCCTTCATTTTCTTGGCTTAGAACGACGCCGAGTCCTTTTTCGCTGGCGTCGCACTGCACTAAGAAGGGTCTTGTGTAGTCAGGGCTGACTAATATGGGCTGAGTCGCCAAGGCTAACTTAAGAGCCTCAAACGCATGTATCTTGCGATCGTCCCATTTGATCTTAGTGGGCTCAGTTTTCTTGAGCGCATCCATCAGGGGACTCGCCTTTTCAGAGAACTGGGGAATGTACTGGTGGTAGTAATTCACCAGTCCGATAAAGGACATCAAATCTTTTTTTTGTTTGTGGCAAGGGAAACTCTTTAATGGCCTGAACCTTGAACTCTTGTGGACGTCTCATTCCTTGACCGACTACGTGTCCGAGATACGATACTTCGCCTCGGCCAAACTTACACTTTCTCGCCTTGACTGTAAGTCCTGCGTCTTGCAGGCGCGAGAACACCTGTTCTAGGTGCTGAACGTGCTCTCTCCACGTGTCCGAAAATATAGCGACGTCGTCTAGGTACGGCAACGCAAAAGACTCGGTTCCGACAAGTACCAGATTCATCAGTCTCGAAAACGCATAGGGTGCGTTTTTCAGTCCAAAGCTCAGGACAAGCGGCTTAAAAACACCAAACGGGGTCATGAAGGCGGCAAGGTTACTGGCGTTCGCGGTAAGTGGCACTTGCCAGTAACCTCTAACGAGGTCGATGGTTGAGATGAACTTGGCTTTGCTTACTTTCTCAAGGCAAGTTTCGATATTAGGGATTGGGTAGACTTTTGTTACCGTTACCGCGTTTAACTTTCGGTAGTCCACACAGGGACGAGGTTCTTTTCCTGGAGTCTCTACCAGAATCATAGGAGACACGAAGTCGCTCTCGCACCGCTCAATCAACCCTAGCTCTAGAATTTGATCTACGGACTCCTTTAATAGCTTTTCTTGGCGGGGGGAAAAGCGATAGGCCTTACACTGAATATTTGACCGAGTCCTCACTTCGATGTCATGTTCGACTAGACTCGTTCTTCCGGGAATAGTTGAAAACAATTTTTGGTATTTGCCAATTAATGCCGTAAGATCCGAAAACTGGTTTTGGGTGAGCGTCTTATCGACTGCGGCCTCTACGACTTCGGCGATTGTCAGGATCCCGTCGGTTTTTCCCAGCTCAGGAATTCGTGTAGGAACTTCCTCTGGTTGGTTTAGTGCAATGCTGACTACTTGCACCCTTTCCATGTACGGCTTCATGAGGTTGCAATGGTATATGCGGACCTCTTTTCTGCGACCTGGCAGTTTTACCACGTAATTTGTCTCTGATAGCCTCTGCTGGACCGTTGCTGGTCCTTCCCATTGCAATTCCAACTTATGAGCCTTAGAAGACCTCAAAAGTAGGACTTGGTCACCCACCTTAAACGTTCGGAGGCGGCTGTTTTTGTCATAGTAGGTTTTACCTCGCGACTGCGCTTTTCCCAGGTTAGCCTCAACTAGCTCACGCGTTTTGTGGAGACGGTTTAGTAAGGAAAGCACATACTCCACCACTGTTGGGTTCTCGGCTTCACCCTCCCAGCCCTCGCGCAGCAACCGCAAAGGTGAACGCAAATTGCGTCCATAGACCAGTTCCGCTGGCGTGAAACCAGTTGACTCGTGAGCAACGATTCGCAACGCGAAAAGCATAGCGGGCAATGCCAAGTCCCACTCTTTTTTCTGTTCGTGACAAAGGGCCCTGAGAATGCGCTTCATTACCGAGTGCGCTCTCTCTACGCTGTTACTTTGCGGGTGGCTTACAGAACTGTGAACAATCTTAATGCCACACCTCTCGAAAAAGCTGGTTGTTAGAGCACTGGTAAAACGCTACCCAGATCACATTGAATTTCACTAGGAAACCCGATCCGAGAAAAGACCGAGAGCAAGTTATCTACTACTTCGACCGATGTCTGCTCTTTCATTGGAACGGCTTCTGGGAACTTCCTGGCCGGGCATAATATCGTTAGAAGGTACCTAAAACCCGTCTTAGTTGTAGGTAGGGGTCCTACGACGTCTATCAATAGCCTTTTGAAAGGTTCCGTGATTATGGGCACTAGTGTGAGAGGCGCCTTTCGGCGCTCGTTTGGTCGTCCTGTTCTTTGGCAGGTGTCGCAAGAACGGACGAATCGCTCAGCCTCCTTAAAGCAGCCCGGCCAATAATATTCTGCCAAAAACCTGCACTTGGTCTTTGTGATTCCTAGGTGTCCCGACCACCCTTCTCCGTGAGCAAGCTCGAGTAATGCAATTCTATACTTGGATGGAACGACAATCTGATCTACCTCGTTCCCCGATTTGTCCTTGAAACTACGGTAAAGAATGCCGTTGCTCATAACGAAGGAGATGTTCGGCTTGATTTCTTTTCCCACGCTATCACGACACTTTGAAAGACTCGGGTCGGATGACTGTTCGGCGATAAGCGTAAGCTTATCTACACCGGCTAGCGCACGAAAATTGCTGCTCTCCGGCGAAACCAGCGTGGTCATGTCAGCTCCTTCGTTCGGCTCTTCATCGGGCCCGCTGCTGGTTTTACCAGTCGTCGCGCTCGCTTCCGTCTGAAGTGTTTCCGGCACTGCACTAGTTGTCATTGAGCGCGTGACGACTAGAACAGGATTCATGTCAAGCGGTATACCCGACTCGCTCAATTGCCTTGCAGTTCTGTTTGACAGTATGTACGGACAGTTTGGAAGCACTCCGTCAGAAACAACTGCTTCCGTTTCCACTACTCCGAAAGGTCCGTTTAGTTTTACCTTAGCTACGGGCAGACTAACTGCCCGATTTTCCAAGGCCTGACGGATCCACACACAGTCGCCTGTAAAATGTTCTTGCTCCACTAGCGAAGAGTGTACCAGATCATACGTGGCGCCGGTATCTCGTAAACCTTTGCAGAATTTACCATTTACTTTCATGTCATACAGATACGGCCTGAGTAGGTCCTCCGCTTCTCCCAGACACAAGTTAACGGGAGCAACTTTAGGGACGCGGCAACCAGAAGCGACATGACCAGGCTGTTTACACCTGTAGCACACTATTGGTTTACGCTCCTCGAACGCCTTCATTTTACGTTTCTTTTCGTCTGAATCAGACACTCCCTTTGTCGGTACTTCACTCTCTTTGCACTTTTCGGCGCCTTTCTTCACGAACGTGCGAGGTCCGCATCGTTCGTAGAAACGGTTTGAGCTACGGTTTTCTTCAACAACTTTCTTCCCGTGCCTAGAGCAGTACTCATCCGCGTAATCTGCAGCTTTTCGCACCGTTTCTACTTCCGGTCTATCCTGAATCCACTCCTTTAGACCTGTCGGAATACAGGAGAGAAACTGCTCTAGTGCTATCTGCTCCAGCACCTTTTCACGATCCTCGTAAGAGTTGACACCACGGAGCCAACTTTCCAGAAAGCCTTTAAGCTTATAAGCGAACGCCGCGTAACTTTCATCCGGTCCTTTCCTTGTCTCTCGAAATTTCTGTCGAAAAGCTTCAGGCGACAACCTGAACTTCCTAAGCAGGCAAGACTTTACGGACGCGTAGTCATCGGCTGCTGTAGGATCTAGTCGGGCCAAAACGTCGGCCACCTCCGCTGGCAGTAAACTCAAGAGCCTTTGAGGCCAGCTCGACTCTACAAGACCCATCTTAACGCAAACCCGTTCGAAATTTACTAAATAGAGACCCATGTCTCCGCCGACGCGAAAAGGTTGCAAAAGGGCTCGCATGTCAAACTTTTTCGAGCTGTTATCCACCACAATGGCCTCACCAGCGTCAAAGTTACGTTGAAGCATTTCTAGCTCAAGTTTTTCTCGAGCAACGCGAAGCCCCTCTTGAGCCGCGTGAAGCTCCTCTTGAGCGGCACGTTGGGCGGCGCGAAGTTCCGCTTCCCTTCGTCTCTTCTGCACCTCGCTCCAACACTCGGAAATTTCGTCGGCGCCCGCGCCACAATCTTCAATGGCCTTGATAATCTCGGGCTTTCTCATGGCCTTGACCACTTTAACACCCAGCTCTTCCGCTAAGAGCATTAAATCGGGCTTCACAATCGCCGCGAGATTTATCGGATCCATGTTCAGAAATTTCCAAAAAAGTTTGGCTACTTTTGCCCAGCGCCCGTATCAACCGTTTGGCGACACCACAGAACTAACTGCCTTAAACACTTAAGCTGCTCGGTGAACGGAAAGGAAGCCTCAGGCACTCACCGACAGCACCCATGGAACCCGGCGTCGTCGATCCATCCCACCGCTGCCACCAGCTGTTACGTTTCTCCGGGAGAATCGACGAATCCGGAGACCGACGTTTATTTGGCAGCGTTTATTGTTCGGCAGCCGGAACCAAAAGAGCGCAAAGCTTGCCGGCGATGCCGCTTATATCGGCAGCAAGCACCAGAGGTACGCCCCCCTGACTCAGCAGTTCTGCTGCGGCCGCGACAGCGATAAGCGATAACATCGCATCGTAACACGGAGTAGGCAGCGCCCGTGTCGACGAGAGCGGTTATGTCGCGTCCGTCGAGAGATACGTTCAGGTCGGCAGTGGTCAGCAGGGCGTCGTCGGAACGTCGTGACGTCGAATCGCGGCTGCGTCGGTGCTGGTTGGGAGGATGTTCGCGACCGTGCTGTACAGCAACCCCACCTCCAGGGGTTGCTGTTCTCAGTTTCCCCTACCGGAACTGGCCGACCTGCGTCTCGCGCCTTCTGAAGAGGGACGGCGTTGTGGCGAAACAGATCGACAAGGCGATGGAGACCGTGAGAAGCGCCGGGGTCCTCGCCCAAGCTCAGCTAAATAGTGTTGGATTTCTTGTGGTCGCTCTCCAACCCGGGGGCGTGGAGCGTCGCTAGAAAAACCTCGAAGTCCAAGTCGGCGGTATGGGCAGAAGCGGTATACGTGACCGGCTTCTCCACAGTGAAAGCAGAGAAGGCGGTGATCAGGCGTGCGCCAGATTTCGCTCTTCGGCGTGCCAGGGCGTCGTGGGGTGGCAGAAAAAGTGTCTGCGGGAGGCGGATGGTGATCCGATAATGGTTCCCATTGAGGGTTCGGAAGGTGGGCAGGTCTACGTGCCGCGGCAGCATACGTCATAGCCTTGGGTCGTCGGGCTTCTGGTGAAATATCCATTGAGCTCAACGCCTGCTGCAGTTCTTCTCGTATGACCTCGAACAATGATGAGGCTTGAGGTTGCTGCGTCGTTGGAAATAGCTTCCGCAGCTCTTCACGCACGACGATTCGAACGGTGTCCCGCAACGTCTGGGCGCCAACTCCCCGGGTTTCGGCGTAGGTGGCGGAAATCGCTGGCACCTGTCGATCGTACTGCCTCGTTCGCATGTCAAGGATCCTCTCAATGGTTGAGGCCTCGGCGACAAACTCCGCAATAGTCTTTGGAGGGTTGCGTACTAGTCCGGCGAAGAGCTGTTCTTTCACTCCCCTCATAAGGATCCGGAGCTTTTTGTCTTCGGTCATGTCGGGGTCGGCGCGCCGGAACAAACGCTTAATTTCTTCAACAAAGACCACCACTGTCTCGTTGGGGTGCTGAAGACGTGTTTGGAGCAGCAGCTCGGCTCGCGCTTTTCGTAGGACCGTGGAAAATGCTTGTAGAAAGCAAGCCGTCAACGAGTCCCACGTAATGAGTAGGCGTTCCTGGTTCTCAAACCACGTCCTTGCCGAGTCTTCTAGCGCGAAAAACACATGGTTGAGTTTTTGTTCAGCACTCCACCTGTTAAAGGCAGCCACCCGTTCGAACTGTTCCAGCCAGTCGTCGGCATCTTCTTGCGGAAACCCGTGAAAAGAAGGGGGGGGTCCAGTGGTCGTTGGAACATGACCGGCGATGGCTGTGCACGTTCTTCCCGGTTGTTGGCCATTGTTGTTTTTCTTGTCCTCTTCACAGAAAGAAATCCGCACTCCTGGGACAGACCTTGGAGGCAACGGCTTCTGCAGTGCACGGGGGTGACGCCAATGGGGCTTGGTCGGCGAGGACTGTTATCTCGGCTGCTAAGAGGAGTCCGGGGCATACGTAGTACCCCGCACCTCCACCAGATGTCATGTAGGCGAAGGAGACGTTGGCAGTGGTAGGACCCAAGAAGGGTTTAATGAGCGTACTGCAAAGCAGGATCAAAGAGAAAAAAGGCGAAGGGCCGGTCCGGTCGATCTGCTGGCAGCTCTTCGAGATTGCGCGGGGCACGAGAGAGCGCCAGGCGCGAGCCCCGTGCCGAACCGAAAAGGACCGAGGCGCGCTGTCATGCGCGAACAATCGAGGTGTTTGTTAACTGTGACAATATCACCCTCAAGCTAATGGGATGGTAGAACGTTTCCATCGTCACCTGAAGACAGCACTCCGAGTTCATCAGACCACTAAGTGGACTGAAGTAATTCCGATAGTACTTGGGTATCCGGTCCGCCTTCAAAGAAGATCTGGGCTCTTCGCAAGCGGAGTTGGTTTATGGAACAACTCTACGTCTTCCTGGACAGTTGTTGCAAGCAAAACCTTTAGCGTCAATCCCTCACATCACAGATCGTGTGGCTCGTCTACGCGACAGAATGCAGCTTCTACAACCAGTCAAGCCACGAGCAACATCTAATCGGTGTGCATTCCCCAGCCAAGATCTACAAACATCAACCCATGTATTTGTGAGAAGACAAAGCCCGAAGATCACTCGATCCACAATATGATGGTCCCTACAAAGTACTTCGCAGAGACACAAAGACGTTTACTTTAGAGATGAATGGACGACACGAAGTCGTGAACTTAGACCGCCTAAAAGCTGCCCACATCGATAACAGTGCGACTTCATGCAGAACCAAGCCTGTGAAACACGTACACTGGGCAACTATAAACATAATTCCTTCGCGCAATAGTGTATCATCATCACCATAAACTTTATTGTCCCACAAGTGGGACGACTTTGATGTCAAGGTCAATGCCCTCAGTGCAGGGCTCCGTTGGGCTACCCCGATCTTGCGGGCTCGCCCAGCCAGCCACTGCTGGCGATCGAGCTCTGCGCAGCAGCTGCGATGGACTGATCTCACTAAGCGTTCGGCGCATGTGTGCCACCGCCATAACTTTAGTTCATAGGAGGCAGACGGCCGTGCATGCTAGGCCTCGTGCCGTCTCGTGCTCCACACGCGCAGAGCTCCAGCGGAGTTGTTGCACGTGCAGAAAGACTAAAGTTCCCTCGATGCATTGCGGCAGCGGTGGCGTAGTCAAACTGGCTGGTGAGATCGGTCTATTCTAGCAGAGGGGCACCTGTACCGGCCCGCTAGAGTGAAGAAGAAGAGGACTACTCAGGCACGCAATCGGGTGCGCGTGTTGTGCTCCTGGGACTCGAGCCTTTCTATCCTACGGATGTTATAAAGCGGCTGTTTCAAACATGACGCCTCACGACTCCACACATTCAACCATAATAACGTAAAAACGCAGTGTGAGTAAACAACGGGCAAGGGGAGCACAGCGTCATGCAAGAAGCCCGAGAACCCAGGGCAATGTCGCGCCTAGCCGGCGCGCCGGCAACCCGGCCGTGGCCGTGTCCAGGCAGGCGCCGCGACGTTGCGGCGCCGCGCGCCGCCGCCCTCTACTTCTCAGTGTAAGCAGGCACACGGCAGACGGGGAATTCTACGCATCCCGTGGAGCCAGTAAATTCATTAGAGTGTAACACGTGGGTAGGCCAGGGCGACCCGGGTCGCGCGGGAACTGTGGGCGGGCGCATTTAGAAACCGCGTGTAAACGTGGCATTTCGGATCGGCGTGAGCCTTTTTGGAACCGTTTTCCGTTAAAGAAAGTCTCAACTTGACGTCTCTATGGCCTCACCAGGTTCCTGTGACATTTCGCCTACTCCTAGAGTTTCTCCCAAAAATAAACGTCGCTACTGCTGCGTGAAAGACTGCCACAGTCGCAAACGTGACTCAAGCGTCCAACTTTACCGCTTCCCTTCGAGATTTTGGGAAGCGACACGGCGACAGAAGTGGATTACTGCAGTGCGACACATCAAGTAAGTGAATTTTATATTAATTGTTGAAGGGAACGAAAGTACATGTGCAGGTTTGGAAAGTGGTCTGACAAACTCGTTTTGCAGACTACTCGGCGAAATAACATATTTATACAAGGTGTTTTACGAGTCTCTGAGACAGCCACGTAGAGAAATACGGTAGGAAAAATTGGGCCGATTGTTCCTTCGCTGTGACGTCGAGAATCAGGCCATTTGGTCTTCAAGCGAGATGCCCGTCGGCCCGTTCCGGAACTCGTTTTATAGACGCTTTACACACGCGCCAGAATACAGCCGCCATTGCTGACCTTCTCTTGTTTTACCGAGATACCGAGCCACTGAAATTGGTGTGGACGAGCCTCCACAAAGGCCAATGCTGGGGAGAAAGACAGAATAAAATCTAGGATTGCAATGACCTAGCCTCCTATGGTAATAATGAAGTGAAGTAAACGTAATAGGGGAAACAAAAACTGAAGGTCAGTTATGGCGGCGCCCATGAACAGCTGCTTCAAAGCGTCTATAGGCGTGCATTTTGTTGCGATTGCGCGCGCCGTTCGGCACGCGCGGTCGCAACCAAAACCTTCCAAACCTGCGAGTTTTCCAATAATGGATTGTCGTAGAAAAAATGTTTTGTTTGTTTCGGCTACCAAATTTAATCCTGAGTCTGGTAACAAATGTGACGGCGTGCAAAAAATAGAATGCAAAAGGTTTTCTTTAGAAAAAGCTCATGCGAAGCGTAAATAACCTTCTCACATGTGAACTTCGTTGCCTGTCGCCTTTTTACGCCAGGCTTGTGTACTGTTCTCTAGCATGCAGTGTCGGGGGGGCGTCAGGAGAAAAAGAGGACGGTCGTGGGAGGCGCGAGCGGGGGCCAGCCGGCGAGGAAAGAGGAAGAGCGTGCTGCACGAGGCTGGGGCGGGCAGGAACGATAGAGCCGTTCTGGCTGGTCCGGCCCATGTCGATCCGCTGAGCATTTCGCCAGCGAGGTTCGGATCAGGACTGGCGGAAATGGCGAGTTCTGGCCATAGCGTGCTAGGCCATGACGATCCAGGAATGGTTCCGCAGCGAGACTCTGGCTGTGATAGCCCAAAACAGCTAGC